GATTACCACCTGCCCCCTGAAAGTAGCTGGTGGGCCTGTTCTACAGGCTTAACCCCTTGCTTGGCAGGTCCTAAATCAGACCCAACAAGGCTTCTGCGTGCTAGTCCAATTACTTCCAAAAATTCTCTACCACTCTGATGAAGACATACTCCAGTGGTTCAGCACAGAAGCCCACCAGAGAAATAAAAGAGAACCAATCACCTCCAGGGAAATGGCGGTCCTCTTTGGGCTTGGACTAACAGGAACAGGGACAGGTATTGCCTCCCTAGCCACACAGAGCCACCAATATAATAGCCTTAGGGCGGCCATAGACCTAGACGTTGAAAGAATTGAAGCCTCCATCTCCCATCTCCAGGAATCCCTGACCTCCCTATCCGAGGTAGTCCTACAGAACTGTAGAGGGCTAGACTTATTATTCCTACAGCAGGGTGGAACATGTGCCGCCCTGGGGAAGGAATGTTGTTTCTACACAGACCACTCGAGCGTTGTCAAGGAGTCCATGGCCAAAGTAAGGGAAGGATTGGCTAAACGGAAAAAATGAGAACAACAAAGTTGGTTCAAAACCTGGTTTAACCACCCCCCCTGGCTAACTACTCTAGTATCCACCTTAGCTGGTCCCCTAATTATTTTGCTACTCCTTCTCACCTTTGGGCCATGCATTGTTAACAAACTTGTAACCTTTGTCAAGGACTGGATCAGCACCGTACAACTTATGGTGCTTAGATAGTAGTACCAGCCGGTAGGTGCCCACACTCAGAACACTTGTATAGACCCATGATTGGTTCCTTTTTTCAGGTTCCTCTGAGAGGGGAAAATGAGGAGCTCAAGGGCCATCTAGTTCATAATTGTGTGATAAAACTTGTTTTAAGTGTAGGTTGAAGCTTATTTTGAATGTATATTGAAACTTGTTTTTAAAACTCAGATGTATGCTTGCTTTCCCGCCCAAGCCCAGTAGTATACTTTTGGTAAAGTTCACATACCAAAAGAAAACCATGGAGTCACGGTGCAGACCCTCTGGCCCCATTTCC